TCCCGGCCCCCTTGGAGGAATGGGGCCGGCCCCCCCACTCCCCACCTGGCGCAGCAGGATGCTCCCACCGGAGACGGGTTCCCTGGTCGGCAGCCACGCGTGAGCCCCTCGTCATCCCCACCGTCGGGACCCCAAAACCCATTCGCTGCCCCGTCGCATCATGTCGAGCCCCATTTTCCTCCAAAGAGAGTTCCTAGCCACTGCTGTCCGTGGGGAGCTGGCCATCCCAAAGGGATTTTCTCCGGGCCGTAAAAAGCCGCTTTCAGTTCTCTTTCGGCCTGAGTTGGCTTGCCATGGGGGCCGGGTGGTTTCCGACACCTCGCGGTGTGATGCACGCCGGGCTGCTGCGTGCTGCGGGGTTTGGGGTTTTTTTTTTACAGTTAAGTTTTAGCAAGTGAACCAAGAGCGGCATCTCTTTGGGGTTTCCCGTGCGCCTCCCACCACAGAAACCGTTCAGCTTTTGTCTTCCCACGGTGGGATTTCGACAGAGGAGGTCGAGGCGCCGAACAAAAAGGGAGTCCCAGCGTCACTGCACAGGGGATCAGGTCCCACCGTCGGGCAGCTCTGTGCTGCGCAGAGCTCAGCTCCCGGGCTGGGGATGCTGGAAAGGAGGCGCCATGCCACTGCTGGAGCTGGCTTTATATCAAAGCAATGAGCGCACTGATTTCTAGAGAGCAGATTTTTCTCTCCTGCTGTCTTGTGTACAGAGCCGTGAGGTTGGGAGGGGGGAGATTTTCATACAAAAAGATGAAGCCCTGGATGGTGGAGAAGAGCTGTGCAAGGACATAAGGAGGTTTTGCATGTTGAAAAACATCCGTGCCCAGGGTTTTGGGCACCCTTCCCTCCTTCCCTAGCATCCAGACTTGGTTCTGGCCACTGACAAAGCCCACAGTGGGTACCCCAGCTCTGGGATGGGGCAGGGACTGTGCCCTCCCCGCAGTGCTGGTGGGACAGAGGGATTTCAAGAAGGAGGGTGGGATGCTGCTGGTGTGGCCTACATAGGTATTTGGTAACAACACAGCTGACAACAGGGCTTGAAGTGTCCTGATTTCGTGCTGTTAAAGAAGTAACCTAAATAATAACCAGATAATCCTGAGCATGGGGCCTCCAGCCCAGGAAATTGGCATTAACCTAACGAAAGCCGAGCACATGTGCAGAGAGGCTCCTTCCTGCTGCCTTGCTGGCCGTGGTGGCTGTCCCTCACCAGGCACCTTTCTTTAGTAACATGCCTTCCGCTGGCGATCCAATTAATGCTGGCTATAAGTAGGAAAGCCTGTAAAATGCTGGGCATTCGAAAGGCACCTGCTTTTGCACAAGTGTGCCAGCATAATTATTCTAACAGCCTAATCTCTGCTTTGTCCCTTTTCGGGTGGCTTTGGAGTTTCATTTCAAAGTGGACATCTTGCATCATGCTTGCTGTGTTTTTATTTTTATCTCAGCATTGCTTAAAATTAATTACTTGCTTGAGGTTTCAGATCTTTTAGCTGATTTTCAGTTTTCAAGAGCTGGTGTTGCTACCGAAATGTTGACGTTATGACTTTACACGGTGTTTTTCCCCAAGTAGAGCGGCTGCAGCCTCATAAATCCAACATGTCAAAGAATAAAGCAGTGAGGAGGAGGTAATATGTGTATAATTAGGTGCATATATTACCCAAGCATGGAGGTGGGGACGTAGCATGGATGTAGGCACAGTGCAAGTGCAGGGCTGGGAAAAGAAACCCTGGCCAAAGCCAGTAAGCCAGGCTGCTGCAGCAAAGCGCACAGGCTGCCCAGCTGTCTATAGATGCAGGACGGTGGGATCTGTCTCGGATGGTGTCCTCAGAATGCAAATAAACTGAGAATTTGGGCTCTGAATCCTGAAATCAGTTTAATCTGGACTGAAAGCTACCCCTGGAGCAGGAGTTTATTGATGAAGCATTACCATTCACAGTTTTCTGGATTGAGCCCAGAATGTGGAATGGTCCGAGTCTCCTCTGGTCCAGCAGAGACCCCTGTAACCTGCAAAGCAGGCTGCCACTCATGTGGTCCTTTTTTTCCTCCCATTTCTTAATTTTGAATGTTGCTTGGAAGTCCAGGGTGCTCTGGGGGTGCTCACTGTTGGCAGAGCTCTCTGTGCGTGTATGGATTTGCTGACTTCTGGGCACTGCCCGCATCCCTCAAAGGCTGCTGCTTGCTCCGTGCGGCAGTTTGGAAATAGAGATGCATTGGGAAATGCCTTGCAAGCTGTGAGCTCATAAAAGCTAAGGTGTGTTAGTGTTATTGCCAAATACTGGTTTTTAAAGTTAGTCAGATGTTAAGGGTGCCGGTAAATCACTGAGTGGGAAGCAGCCTGTCGAACGGATGGGACTGAACTCATGCTGATAGCACGGCTGGCTCCTGAGTGATCCCTTCCAGGCTGAGGTCCTGCCTGCTCCACATTTGAAAAACAGTGTGAGCAAACCCATGCTGGCTCTGGTGTAGGAATGGCTGAGTTATGCCATCCACACCCTCCAAGTTACGTTTGTTTCCTCGTTTCTTATGAGATATTATAAGAGATTAACTTTTCCCTTATTACCTGTTGCTCAGGTTTTTGGTTTGTTGAAAGTCTAATGAACCTTCCTGCAGGCATGCTAGTATGTATTGGGTGTTTTTTTTCTTCTCTATTTTATCTATGTGCTGGAGCTCCTCTTAGCATCTTTTTTTATGGCTTGATGTCATGGTTAAGGCACCCACTGTCTTATCTGAGGTTTCCCTGGATGGATTCCTTGCAAAAGGTATGGGGTTTGGGTAACAAATAGAATAAACCATGGGTTGTTCTAACAAGGTGTGAGCAGGGATTGCTGCAGGATGGCTGATGGGACTGTTGGGTAAGGCTGAAAATATTTCTCCCTTTGTGGTGTTTTACTCAAGTGTCTGGACATGTTGATTAGAAACATTATGGAAAACCCCTGCTAAAAGTTCTCCCAGCAGACTTAAATAACCCTGTTAAAAAAATGCACACGCCAGTAGCAACGTAAAGCCATAAAACGCAGAATTGCCACCGGTGCAGAGAAAAGCTCCTTGCTTTGGTGGGGACAGCCTTCCCAGAAGACGATGCTCTGCTTTGCTGACTGCTAAACGAATAAAGCCTGGAGTTCACAAGCAGGCTGAGCACATTTCCATCCCTAAATAAAGATGGGGCTAAATGTCCTTTTTGTGTCTTGGCACAGGTCCTAGTGCAGCTCAGTGCATTGCTGTACCTCTCAGGTAGGAGCTGCTGGGGTGGGGGGCACCTATGGGGACTGCCTGCTTCATTCAGTAGGGTTTGGGCTGCTGGGTAGAGAATAGAGCTGCAAGGTAACACAGAAATATGGTCGAGGATGTGGGACCTCTGGAGAGCATCCTGTCCAACCCCTGCTCAAGCAGGGTCATTTGGAGCTGGTTGCCCAGGACTGTGTCCAGTCACGTTTTGAGTGTCTCCAAGAATGGAGTCTCCACAACCTCTGTGGGCATCCTGTGCCAGTGTTCACCCCTCCTTCTTATGATTAAACACCAATTCCTGTATTTGGATGTGTGTCCTATCATAAGGCACCATGGCTCCATCTCCTTCATTCTCACCCACAAGGTACTTACACACAAGGATAAGATCCCCCTGAGCCATCTCTTCCCCGGGCTAACCAGTCCCAGCTCCCTCAACAGAGGTGACACATGCTTTGTCCAAATAAAACCATGCCCAATGGCACTGCCTTTGAGAAGAAGATGGGTAGAAGCTGCTTCTTCAGCCAAAAGGCAAGGGAGAGTCCTCTTGCTTACTGCTCAAGGAGTACACCTCTGCACACAAAGTCTCCCTGGGGACAGATGATGCTGCTGGGATCCTGGCACGGCTGCAGGGTTAGCTGGGCAGAGAGAAAATACCCTCTGGAGCTGCTGGGTTTTTTTAGTCTTAAGGTCTCATGTTAAGCTCGGAGAGGCTGGGAGGGCTTGCACGGGGTTTGGGGTGGGAAGGCGTGATGGGGAGCACGGCAGGGGGCTGTGGGAGCAACAGGAAGATGCTGCCTTTCATCCTCGCAGATGGATGCTCACAGTTCCTCCATCCTGCTGCTCAAATAATATCTGGTGTTTTCAGCAAATTTGTGTGTCCAGTCTCTTTCATGGCAGCACTGCCTGGTTTGAACCATGCCTTACATGGTCAGGATGTTTGCTAAGGTAGAAAACTCTGACTGCCTTCCCATTCCTGCCTCCTCTTCCTCCTCTCTCCTAGGCAGGACACTGGCCTGCAAGAGGGGATGCCACAGCAACAGGCGCTGTACCCTGGGAAGGTAAAAGGAGGCAGCGTGATGCTGCGGTAGCTAACGCTGCCTTGCCTGTCCCCTCTCTGCAGTAACAACAACCCCTACGCCTCCTTCGGAGCCACGCTGGCGCGGGACGAGGAGCAGAACCTGTGGAGTACCCCGCACGACGTGACCCATACGGAGGCGGATGACGACCGGGTGCTGTACAACATGATCGTGGTCAGGAACCAGCTGGACAAGGACTCGGAGGTGAGGAGGTGCCATTCCTCACACTCAGTTTCACTACAGGCCGAGGCTTGGTACTTTCATTGAAAGCTTTGACAGTGCCTTTATTTAAGCACCCGTTAAGCCACTCTAAAGACCTCAAAGTCTCCCAACATGGCTCACTTAGGCATCAGGTCCTCCCATATGCTCCATCACCCTCCAGATTTTATCCTGTATCCAGTGTGGATTCATCTGTAGCCATCTCATCCCTGGGAAGCTCAGGAATGTCTCCGGTGACTGAGCCAGGAAAGCTGCCCTGAGCATCATGCATGATGCCCTTTAATGCCTCTACCACCACCACCTGCAAATGTGTACTGGTAGCACTGGAGTCCCCAGCTCGGTTTCCCAGCTTCACAGGCTGCTTTTTTTGTCCAATATTCCATTTGTCCTTTCCACGATCGAACTGGCATTAGCCCTGCGTGCAGTGGTGTTTGCCCCAGCAATGGCAGCTCCTGGAGCTGCGCTGCCGCTCCAGTGACATGTCAAGTTAAATACTCCTCTGATGGGTTGTACGGCAATTATTGAGAAGCGGAGAACTGGCACAGTTCTTAGTGCAGAAGGGAGAAGTCATTGCTGTTACATAAAGACTGTTTTGCAGCCCTGATTTCCTTTGCTAAAGCACTTCGGTTCAAAGGAGATTTCAGTGGCCTGATTAGGAGCAGACTGTAGCAAATAGTGACAGTTTTTCCCCTCTCTGATTGCTTTTAAGACTTCAGAATGTTTGCAGGAAAGCCTGGAGGCTTCACATTTAATTTCAACATGATCCCACTTCATCCAAGAGACTGCAAGACTATAACTCCTTCTGTGATAGTCCTCTTAAACCAAAAGCTAGCTCAGCTTTTGTGAGAAGCCTTAAACTCCAGAGGTACAGCTGAGATAAAAATTACAATTTTTAAAACTTACAATGAGATAATGCAATCCTTGTGTGCAGTTGGCCAGCATCCCCATTTAATGTTTGGGGTTTTTTTGATGGAGATTGAATCATGCTGCTTTACAATGGATGGTTTTGTAACAACATTTTCATGGTTGTATGTAACCTTTACAGCTATGACTGAAGATAACCTCTTCTCTCCCCACCACTGCTTTCTCTATATTGCAATGGGTTGTCAGGGAGCTTCATCCAGCCCAAATGGGCTGAAGGGAACAAGAACAACTCTGTTTAGGGGGCTCCGCCAGTGCTGGGTTATTGAGGAGCTGAGCGTACACTGAAGCTCCTCATTTCAGCCCATGCCCAGGTAGCAGCCTTTGAGCTTGATTTAGGACTCATTGTGAGGCAGGCCTCCTAAAAGCTATTATTAGTTATAAAATGGTTTCATAAGTGGACAGACTGCTGAAAAGGTGGCTCCTTGGGCAAAAGAGCATTGTGTGACAGCCTTGCTCAGGCTGCAGAGGAGAGCATCAGTTATGGGTGAGCAGGAGAGCGATCCCATGCCTGCTTGTCCTAATCTCAGTGCTTCGTCCTTGCCTTCAGCGTGTCCGTAGGGTTTTTAGTGAGTCTGAGCAGTCACCGTGCCTACTAGTGAAAAAGGAAAGTTACAAAGAGCACAGGGCTTCCTCTGCACAATGAATGTTAGATCACGTACCCTGGCTTTTCATGCAGTGCAATTAATAAAAAGGCCTGAGGAGTACATCATCAGGCTGACTTTGGAGAAAGCCAATACACGATGTGCTTGATTTGAATTATCACATGGTGCCCTTTGCAGCTATTGATTGCCAGCCTCTCTGCTGCCTCTGTTTTACAGCTGGGGAAACTGAGGCACAATATATAAGCCTGGTAAGCTGCTGCATTTTCCAGCTGAAGCTCTTTCTCGGGGGCAGAACAGGGAGAGACTTGGCCAGCAAAGCCAACATTCCTGCGTTTGGCCCTGGGCCGAAATCTCTCCTTACTCCAGTGAACATCTAAAAACTAGGCCAGATTGCATTGCCCTCCCCTCCTAATGAGGCTTTGGCCCTGAGAGAGAGGGAAAAAAAGTATAATTGCAAAACAGCACTGGCCATAATCCGCTTTGGGAGCTGCTCTGCTTCTGAAGTCACCACAGAGAGTGCTGCAGGATAGGGGACAGAGGATCGGTTTCTTCTACACCATGCACAAGTGTTATGAAACCATAGGTCCTTTTTTCCTCTTGCTTAAACTAGCAAGAACTAGAAAGGAGAACTAGGCCCTGTATTTCTGCTCCTTCATTCTGCTCCTGTCCTCTATACACTTACTGTATGCTTTGCCATTCCCCACTTTTATCTTCATGATTTCATAGCACAAGACTTTGGAAGGATCCCAAGAAGCTGGTTGCTCTACGTCATGTGTGCTTTATCTGTATGGCACCATCTCGGCATCAAACCAGTATCGTGTTTTTCTTAATCTGGCCAACCCACTTCTGCTTTCCTGGGTATTTTAATTTTTAAAAAATGGTTGTTCACATAGCGACAAGGTGCTGTGAGCAAGGACAGGAGAAGCGGTGGGCCAGGTGGTGACATCAGCACGGTGCTGGAGCTCAGTGGGCATGGGCCATGATGGCACTTTCCTGGCCTGGGAACCGCTGCACTGTGGATCACTGTAAATAAATAAACAAACAAAACTGTGTATGCAAAAGCCCAGGCCCTCTGGCACCAAGCGCACCCTGTAGTTCAGTCAATTTTCTGTGTGTTAGATTGTTTGTGGTGGGTCACCACAGCTTTACTGTCCTCCCTTGGGACCAGTTCCTTGCCCCTGACACAGAGCTGGACCCACACCTGATCCATGAGGAGCCATTTCTTCTCCCTACCTGCTCCCAATGGCCTTGCTCCAGGAAATTTGGCAGCTCCAGCCCAAACTTGGTGTGACCTCAGCTTGTGTAAGGATGGCAGGGCTACTCCACCCTGCTTCTCACTGAAGCAGGGCAGCAAGCTCTTCAAAGCAAGCACCGTGGCATCCTGGGTGCACCCTGTTTAACACCCACTTGCTTGTCGTGCTCAATGCCATGTGCTGGAAGTGACAGTTCAGGGCCCATGGCCACGGTGGAGCCAGCTGGAGAACCTGGTGGTTGCCAAACCCACCGTGCAACACACAGATGAGGCAAGATTCGCTGGAGCCGCCTAAAATCATAAGGACGGAGCAGTTTGGAGCTTTGCATTTCCCTCTGCTTGAGGCCAATGAGCGTGGTGTCCTTGGATGCACTTTCAGAAGCCAAGTGTGGACATGGGGAGGGTGTGCCCAGAAAAGCCGTAGCTGAAGGGGTGGCTTAAGGGGGCTGGTAAAGTTGATGCAGCCTTTGGAGATCAAAGCTGTTGTCAAAGCCTTTGAGGCCTGAGGTCAACATTTCGAATACCGAAAACTGTTTTTTTCCTCCTGCTGCCCTGTAGTATCATTGAACTTGTGATGTAAAGTAAAACCCCAAATCTGGAGGTGAAATGAGAATCCCTAGAAAAATAAGATGTTATTTAAGGTGCTCCATAGATATAGGCCAGGTCACTGTTCCAGCACGTACCCAGCTAGTGAGGGCAAAAGCATTTTATGGGGATGAGGGAACTCCTGTGGCTCCAGCAAGCCTCCAGTGTTAAGGCTTATCCAATGCTGGGCTTATTTGGCTTATGTGCATGGTGTGGCGGTTGCCCCGTTCCATGAGGATTGGTTTGTGGTGGCCCTGGTGCCTCAGCAGCCTCTCATGGGGTGCATGGAATTACCCAGCCGTCGGCAGAGACCCTGAGCTGTTGCATTAACACTGGCTTCAGAGAAGGAGCCAGGTTTAGGGCAGCTGTGCCACAGGTCTGTGAACAGAAACTGAAGGTGGGTTTTTGCACCATGACTGTGGAAAAACAACTGTTCTCATGGCTTGTTGTAAGTGCAGTGTTTCTTTTTTCCGTTGGCTTATTCTCTTGGGAAAGGTGGGATCATAAGCCCCACTAGCAAAGGCAATCCCTGAGCTTGCATCCCTGCTGAGGGCATGGCTAGCAGAGCTGCGCTGGCATGATCCTCCTGACAAACACATTAATGAGCTGACAAAGCCTATTTTTCTGCTTCCTCCTGCTCTCTTACAGGATTCTTCTTTTTTAAACACATTATAGAGAAGGTCAGTGTTGTGACACGCTGTTGCTCAGGCAGAGAGAGGTGATGAGATTTGCCCAGGTTTGGGGATGCTGGCTGGGGAGCCTGGAACTGACCCACTTAATACATAGGAAAGGTTATTTATGAACTCTTGCATGCCCCTCTGAATCCAGTTTAAGGTTATTCTAAGCTGAGATGTCAGTTGATGGTTCAATGTATCAGCGTGGATCTAGAGTTTGGATTTGTTGAGCTCCTTCCAGTGGAGCCAGTCACAGAGTCAGAGTAGGAGCATCCCTGGATGTGGCCTGGTACCTGCCTGCACTGGTATTCCGCAGTCTTTCCCTGATAACTCTGTTTTGAACTCATTTCCAAAATAACTCTTGAACAGAACAGTGACACCAATTACTTTCAAGGGAATAACCCAAGCCATTCTATGATTCTAGGATTCTGCGATAATAAAGGAGAAGGCTTTGGTGAAGAATTGCTTTGGCAACATGAAGAAAACTGTTCCTAATTAGGAAATTTCCATACAAGCAGGGATGAAAAGTTGGACAGTGCTTGCCTGTTCTCTTGGCAGTTTTTCCCAGAGCTCTTGGTTATGTACCAACCTGGCTTACATTTCATGCCCAGCATTTCCTCACTTCCATTTAGTATTTGCAGATTTAGTGTGTCACGCAAGAGAGTCTGGGAAGGTTTTCCAGATAAATATTTGAAGGGCTTACCGCTTAGAGGAGAGAGGTGTCAGGGTTTCCCCGCTGCTTCTGGGATATTCTTGACTCATGCACAGGGTGTTTTCTCAAGCCCCCGCTGGTGTATGTTGTGCCCTGCTATGTAGATTTAAAAGGGCAAAACTGGTTGCAAAAATACAGGGCCAGGAACTGCAACCTGCTTTGGTTTCATGTAGTTAATTCAAATTTTGGGAAAAAGGGTATTTTTCTTAAAGGACAGATTTTGAATGTGTTACTGGGATGTCCCAGACCCATAGAAACACCAAGGGGTTTGGTGAAGACCAGCCTCCTGCTGAGCTGGTGCAAGAAGCTGCCTGGCTGCTCCAGAAGTTACGTCTAACTAGACAAGAGTTGTTCAGCCTAGAGGAGAGAAGAGAAGGCTCCGGGGAGACCTTATAGCAACCTTCCAATACCTGAAAGGTAGCTCAGCACTGCAAGAGATAGTGGAACTTGCCTTTCTGTGGCTCCAAACAAGCACCTGACATCTGTATCGCATGGTGACATTTGCCTCCCTCTCCACATTTGAGGGGAAAGGTTTCTCTTTCCTTTATTTCCCCCCCCCCACAGTATCCCTGCCATAGAAAATAATCAGAACAGTCCCATAGTGGTTGTCAAGTTTACATACAAAGAGATGATGGAACCACATCCTGGGCTGCATCACAAGAAGTGTGGCCAGCAGGTCGAGGGAGGTGATTCCGCCCCTCTACTCTGCTCTGGTGAGACCTCACCTGCAGTGCTGCGTCCAGCTTTGGAGTCCCCAGCACAAAAAGGACATTGAAGTGCTGGAGCGTGTCCAGAGGAGGCCACAGAGATGATCAAAGGGCTGGAGCACCTCTCCTATGAATATAGGCGGAGAGAGTTGGGGTTGTTCAGCCGAGAAGAGAAGGCTCCGGTGGGACCTTATAGCGACCTTCCTATACCTGAAAGGGGCCTATAAGAAATCTGGGGAAGAGCTGTTCACAAGGACATGTAGCGATAGGACGAAGGGTAATGGTTTTAAACTAGAAAAGGGTAGATTTAGGCTGGATATTAGGAAAAAGTTCTTCCATATGAGGGTGGTAGATCACTGGAACAGGTTGCCCAGTGAGGTGGTGGAGGCCCCATCCCTGGAGATATTCAAGGTCAGGCTTGATGGGGCTGTGAGCAACCTGATCTGGTAACATTGGCCCTGCTTCCTGCAGGGGTTGGACTGGATGAGCTTTAAAGGTCCCTTCCAACTCAAAACATTCTATGATTTTAAGAGGCAGGAGAGGGAACAGAGGTGCACAAGACATGAAAAACAAAGCTACGTTTTGGAGGAGAGCTGCTTGTCCCTTGCCTGCACATGGGCTTGGACACCTCACCGGAAGGGACTCTGCATGGGAGCCAGCTGGGATGTGGCACAGAGGGCAGCCAGCTCCAGCCTCGCTCTGCCCAGGGCTGCCCAAGGAGCAGTGTGCCCTGTCCTGCATCTCACCAGCGCCCTGGTATGGCACAATGGTCCTTGTCACAGCAGCAGGGAGGGCTGAGGAAGAGCGAGGTTTGATGTGGAGTCCCGGTTGCCTGCCCTGGTGCTAACCAGCAGTGGTGCTGAGCAGCCTCGGCCTCGTGATGTCCCGAGCCCCAGCCAACCTTTCCCTCTGCAGGTCACATCTTGGTGACTCATGGGATGTGCATGGGGAACACCCTCTGTAAGTCTCTGTTGTTGCCCATTTGTTGCAATTTCCTATGTGGAAACATGGGCAGGACAGGCTTTTCTCTTCCCTCTGCTGTGTAGTTAAAGGAGATGCTTTTTAGATTAATTTTGGGGATGGAAAGATGCTATTGACTTTATTGCCCTCTTGAAAGCAACGCAGAAGACAACCCTCAAAATGCCCACAATATTTGGGATGTCTCTGCCACAAGAAATAACCCGGGAAAACTCAGTGTTTTCTGAGGCTGATGGAGAACAGGGCATGTGTTCTCAAGAGCTCAGTGCGGAGCTGCCCATCCTCACACCACTAATCTCTGCTGTCTCTAGTTTCTTTCAAGCGACAGGCACCATGTGCAGCATCCTCCTCCCAGCTTTCTCAGGAGGAACATAAATACATCCAGCTCCATGGTCAGGCAAAAGAAATACCACTAAAACAAGAGATCTCCCCCAGGCAGCACCATTAAACATTATTTTCTGTACCAAAGCTGCTCCTTTTCACACCCTCAAAATTCTCCATAGACGAGACACTGTTGGAGGTCCCCTGGGACTAAATATGCACCGTATTCACTTCCATAACTCAACTTAGTGATTATGACATACAAGAAAGCCATACCCTAGATTCCCTTAAAACAAAAATAGACAAGGGAAAACCATGCTGCTGTTAATCCAGAGAAAATCAGGAGCAGCTTCCTTGCATGCTAAGCACTACTCGCTGTTTAGCTTAGTGAGAAGTCTGGTTCACTACCAGGAGGAGTAAATCACTGCAGCCCTGAAAGCTGCTGCCTGGTGCCAGCTAGCCATGTTTTGGGGATAGGAGCATCTTTATAACCCCCTGAGTTGTGCATTCAGCAGTGGGAAGCACACCTGGATTCACAGAGGCTGTGTTGATCGTGTGCATTAAAGCACTTGTTAAGTCTCCGTGGGAGGGCAGAGACATGCAACTCGTTTCCCTGCCAGTTACCCAGACTTGTTTGCTTTCCTTTCTGCTTATACCATAGGGTTACAAGCAGGCCGAGATGTTTCCAAGGGATCCTGGTCAGCGAGGACCAAGGCATCGTGCAGACTTCATTCTCTTTCTAAAAGCTTTCAAGTTTGCAATAAGCTTCCCACAAAGCAATACAATAAAGCCCATCTTCACTGAGAGCAGCTCAGTTCCTGGCTATGAGCCAGCGTCACGAAAGAGAGGAGTCTTGTCCCTGCCTCCTTTCTCTAGCAAAGGGTTGAAGAAGGGTTTGATGCCTTGCACTGTCAGCCAGCTGCCTCCTGTGCAAACACTAAAGGTGTTTTCAAGTACTGCTGCAGTCAAGAGAGACACACAGCTCTGATCAGAAAAGCTTGCTTGTTGGGAGCAGCAACTCAAAGCTAAAAATGAAGGGGATTTTGCTCTCCGGGAGGATGAGCGGTGCAGAGCGAGCGGCTGCAGGCAAAGTTGTGTTTCCCTTGCTCTCCTGACCAGAATTCACCAGTGTCTTAACCCCTGTGCTTCTTCCAAAGCATAATCTCCAAGGGGTTCCTGCAGCCATCGCCGAACACCAAGAGAACAGGCTCGTCATTTAATTCTCTGCGTGTCAGCCAGGTTCAGGGAAAAAGTACTAAGACATCTCCAACTCTTTTATCGAATCAAGTCAATTCTTTCAGGTACAAAGTGTCAGAAAAACAGTGGGATTTCTAAAGCACAGCTTACCTTCATGGGTGTTATTTAACCCCTTTGAACCCACTGTGTCACATAGGAAAAGCCCAGGACAGTGGCACAGATTAACACCCGCTTATTCTACAAGAGTCCATCTATGTAATCTGTTGCTGAGAAATGAGATTAATTAAGTTCGTTAGTGCAGGAAAATTATTTGAGCAATGTTACGACCTGCTGCATGGATGCTTCTGTAAATGCATCCTTTTTAGTGTGTGCATTGATTAAACTCAGCTAGGAAAAATGCTCCTGGTTTTCTTGCAGAATATGTGCGTTTCCACAGGAATGCATGTTTGTAAGGATGTGTTTAATTGTGCTGGTATAACTTTAATAAATAACCTCAAAACCTTCCCCTTTAGGCAGTGTCCCATTATGTAGTTATAAAGCTTGAGGTCAAGTGCAAGGATTTAAGCTGTATGGTTAAATGAGGCATTGACTGCAGCAATTGGTGGTCACTTATAGTTATTACATCAAATGACTCCAGCTCAGCCCTCAACCATCCACATCCCTCTTCTCTGCTATTTAAAAAAGGGTACCCTAGCCTTTAAAAAAAAGTCTATTTTTCTTGTTTTCCAGTGCTTTTGAAAACCTGCCTTTTTTTAAAACCTGCCTACTCCAGTTAAGTGCCAAACAGAGGGCTGAGCAGTTTGGAGAAGCCACTGTATGTGTGACCATACTGAGAGCAACCACTTTTTTTTGCAGACTTTTAGTTTCCCATGGGCTATCATCAGCTGTAAGAAAATGTGCCATGCCAGTTTAACCACAAAGGTATGAAAATAAGGTGTTGTAATAGTTTATCTAAGGTATTTATTAATATGTCGTCGTGGTTTCTCAAGCTGTAAAGGCCAAATAAGGTATTTTCACAACATCAGGTTTTGATACTAGCAAGCGTGTCAGAGTCTGGATAAAGGGCTTTGGACCAAAGAGACTGAAGTCTCTCATATGAGTTACATTTGGAAGTTCATGGTTTTTTTCCATCCTAGGACAGCTTTACAATTTCCAGCACAGAGCTGGAATGACATTCTCCCTGTCTGACTGAGGAGATCGCTTTGGTCATCAGCAACGACTATACTAAATTCTGCAGTCTGATTTCAGGGTAACTGGAAGCCTGTTTAATATATGCACAGAAGATAACAGAGATGCTGTACCAAGTGTCAAGATAAAATATTCTATGCTGGTCTGTATAATTTCTTCCAGGGACAACGGCAGCTTGGCCACTGACTTTTTGCACCGATCCCTCAGTGCCAAAATCAACAATTAAACTCTGGCTCCATTTCTAAGAGCTGAAATTTCTAGAAAAGCAGCGGAGACCTCCCCTGTATGGAAATAACTGAGTGTCTCTTATTTCTTTGCTTTGCAGGAATGGCAAAAGCTCAACTATGATATTTATACTTTACGGCAGACACGAAAAGAAGTGAGAAGCAGGTGGAAACACATTTTGGAGGATTTAGGTAAGCTAGAAGACAAAAGGATGTCATTTCTGTGGTACTGAATGAGAGGTCTCACGATTGCTGAGGATGGGAACGGCTCCATAAAATCAGGCTGGAAAGGGAGGAAAATAAAAGGTTTTGGCATTGCTGAGTAACGCCATCAGGTAGCCCACATGGCAGCTGAGACTCTGCAGGAGGTTCCCCAGAGCTCAGGCACGGCTGGGAGGATATGGGGCCACTGTGTCTGCAGGCACTCAAAAAGCCCACTATGACCAGAAAGAAGAAAAGGCCCAAGGCAGGAGAGCCTTTCAAGCCCGTAATAGTTTCCTTCTGGAAACTTAGCAGGCACACCTGGGAGTTCACCCTGGGTTTTTCTAAACAAGATAAGCAGGGAGAAATGAATATTCCTTTCAGATTTGAACACAGATACATCTGGTTTTCTTCCTTAACCCATGCCAGCTGATTGGAGATAAACCACCCACTTTGTTTGCTCCTAAGTGAATTTGAAACACGCTTTCACCACATGAAATTGCTCAACAGTGGCCCTCCTACTGCTGCTGTTTCCTAGCCTGCAAACAGTGAACTGCACCCACCAGCCCTGTGTGCTCAGCTGCTGCTCCTGTGGAGAAGGCAGTGCTGGGTGTGACCTGCTTTTCCCAATTACCTTACATGCAGTGTGTGTCACCTGGGCTAAGGAGATGTGCTGTGCTGGCACATCAGCTCAGTGACTTGCATCATTCTCTGGAGGCTGGCAGCTCACGACAGAAGGATGTGTGAGTTGAGTGTGCTTGTTGGGCTGTTCAAGGATATTATCACTGGGAGCAAAAGAGATGGGTATCTCAGCTGCTCCTGCCCTACCTGCTGTTCTGGCACCTGGATGAGAGGAACATTACACATTCATATCTAGGTATCAGCATTCATCTTCACCCAGGTGTTCACGCAGCCCGTACAAACCAAATGCGGGAGGGATCACTTGGCATCGTTACATCTGCTACTGCACATTGACAAAGGCTCTGCCACATCTCCCTCACGTCCGCAATGGCTCCAGAGCTGTTTTGCAAAGGGTGGGGAAGCTCAAGACCAGGGATCATTTGACCTTAACAAAGCTAGATGTGCAACCGGATGTGGAACCTGCTATCTCTTTTTTTATCTAGACCTGTGCTTTAATCATAAGACCACCTCTGTGTTTCCAGATGAACACATCACCAGCAGCTCCTTGGAGCTAAACAAGGAGTTAATGGTAGCCATCACATTTCAAGACCTCTACATTCATTCTCCTCCCCCTTTCCTTCCCTGGATACCCTTCCTGTACGAGATACTGACTGCTACAGCAATGATTACCCATGCATCCGTTACTGCCACAGGTTTTTTATCACTGTGACCTCCCAACAATATACAGGCATAGTCACTGAGGTGATCAGGGAGCCCCACCATCCCTGAAAGCTCTGGCAGCATCAGGAACTTGCAAGAGCTGAATCAGCACCCTGGATGTGGATGTTTAGACACCTTCTCTGCAAAACTAGCAACAAACTTGCTCTGAATGTTTTTATGATTATTTTCACCATCAGCTTATACCTGCCCCAAGCGCAGACACAGAGCCTGCCTGGGGAAATGCTTGGGTTTTTTTTAGCAAGCAGGGAACGCAGCAGCCCAAGTTGGAGGGGGAATAAGGAACCTTGCAAGGCCCTGAAGGACTGAGGAATGACCCTGCCCATGTGTTTGACTCCTTTCTGTAACACATCTCTTTCCCAGGTTTCCAGAAGGAAGCAGACTCCCTCTTGTCAGTGACCAAACTCAGCATAATCAGTGACTCTCAGAACATGGGCAAAGCCCGGGACATCCTGTTAAAGCTCTCTGAAGAGACAAACATCTTCCCAACCAGCTGGGAGCTTTCTGAGCGCTACCTCTTTGTGGTGGTGAGTATCTCTGAGTGTGTCTTCCTCCCTGTGGCCCCCGTCTCTGCAAGTAAGTTCAAGTGAAGGGGAGCAGATAGGTGGACTGCATCAGAGGACACTCAAATACAAGGTGGCATCTGGGGTATCCCCATCAGATGTTGCACTTTTATCTTGGCTGGTCAGCTTCCTTGGAAATGTCAGTGCTGTAGCGCTGTAAATTTGCCCCTTCAAGTTCCTTTAACCCTGTGCAACTGGATGCTCTTGCAGCATGTTAATAAAGTGGGAAAAGATTAGACCTAGCACTTTGTTTAACCTGAAAGTGGCCATGAAGGGAGCACCCTGACCAGAAAGATGCCTAAAGCAGCCTGTAGTGACTGTATTACATTGCTTTGGCAGGATCGGCTTATAGCTCTGGATGCTGCAGACGAGTTCTTCAAGATGGCCAGCGTGGTGTATCCAAAGAGACCCAGCGGGGAAAGACTGGATGATAGCCAGAAGACCCCACAGTGCATCTCTGTTGTGATTCCCTGAGGAATGTGGCTCGCTGGCATGAGATGGACAGCAGGTTTCTTTGTCTCCAGGACCGGGCTCCTCTGCCAAGGGGTTAGCACAAGTAGTGCTGCTCCTTGTTTTCCTGCAGAGAAGCTAGCGGGCCAGCCAGAGCAGAGCGAGGAGGTCAGCGAGCCCCACTGGGAGGGCACAGGAAGGCGGATGCTGGCCCTGAGGTGCTCCCAAGCAGAAGGGAGCGAGAACTGCCATAGTGTAGCTGTGGTGAGACACCCCTAGCTGAGTAGTGTGTGTGATAGGTATGGAGAGTGGAACCCACCATGCAAGTTGCTGCTACCAGTTGAGATACTCATAGTTATAAGCACTGCGAGGAGATCTACATTTCCTCTTTCTGCTGATACCAGCCACTGTCCTTTCCCTTGACCCCGCTATCCAGAAGGACCAGTGAGGGAGGAAAAATACCTCAGTCGTTTACAGCTCTGTGACATTTCTCTGTGTGCCGGTCCTCCTCTTCATCACCATCCCATAGCGGTCCTGCCAGGCTGGTCCCAGGGGGTTTGGCAAAGAGGCAGCAGCAGTGTGTAGGTGGAAGAGGAGTTAGTGTCGCAGTTGGGTGCTCTGTCCCAAGCCATTAGTGGTTTGGAGGCATTTATGTCAGGGGATGCTCTGCCTGACACCTTAAAAGAAAGTAGATTTTTAGGAAGGTGCTAAGGTCAGACCTGCTGAGAATGTGGTTCCTGTAATATCCTCAGATTGGCTGCCCAACATCCTAATTTCTGAAAGTTTTGGTCTTAATTGCATAAAAAAACCACTATAAAGCTGTATGTACTGTCAAGATATACTGTCCCTGCTGTTAATGAAGATTTTTAATGAGCACCCTTTATATCTTGGGTTTTTTTGTCTGATAATGAGCAATAATTTTAAAACAATGGATCTGATAATTTAAAAACAAGTGCAAGTTCTTCACTAGTTAACACATGTGCTGCTAGTTGGCCGGTTGAAAATGCTGGTTACACAGGACCTCCCAAAATAGCAAAACAGAGTTTTATTTGTTTATACTGACAGTGTTTGAAAAATAAACATATATATATATGTATTTATGAATTGTTTGACAGTCTTCCTGGGAAACTTTTTTTGTCAACATCAGTGAAAACTGAGTTTAATAAACAAAACACATTACAAAACCAACATTTCTTACTCTCTCTGTAACCCTGTTCGGGCAAAATTTATCTTGACTGCTGATAGCAAAAGAACTGGGGTATTTGTAGAGCATATGCCTCTGCAACCTGTTCTCCACACACTTACAATTGCCTATTGACTTGCAAAAGAGCAGGTTCATTTGCCAGCGTAAGACCAAAGTCTTCACAGGACATGATGGGGACTGAATTTAGTTTCAGTGGGATCTGGAGTTAGGTGCCCAGTTCCATTGATTATTTTTTCTTTTTTAGCAGAAGTTCAATTGCGCTTTGGAAAACCTCCCATGTTTTTATAGAAAATAAACCTCAGTGCGTGGCAACTCCAGGGTTTGATTTGAGCAAAGTGTTGCAGAACAGAAAGATCCAGTGGTGCAAGGAACACTGTGCCAAAGTACACAGCACCACCCGAAAGTCAGCCCTTGGGTTGTTATCACTTCGTAGGACTACATTGTGCATACAACCACCTGATGAGTTTCTAAGTCTCATGGGTGAGGAGATAGCTCGTTAGGGCAACGGAGGTCGACGTGAAGCAGCATCTTTGCAGAAACATCCCTTGCTGTCACTTGTAGCTGTGAAACCGGTTCTGCTGTCAACAAAATGCAATTTGTTGTAACTTAATAGGACAGAAACTGCCTAAAAGAGACAATAATTAGGATCTCTGAATGAGTTTAGCTACTGAAGTGAAGCTCTGTGGAGGGGAAGCACTGAGTTTCTGAGCACAGCCATGGGGAGGAGTAGAAATTAACGGCAGCATCAGATCAGAGCAGAGCTGCTCACTTCTGCATAACAGGGAGGAGTAACAAGGCTTGGGGACCTGTGCATCAGATTATGTACTGATCACAACATGAACAGAAAAAGGTCTTTTGGTCCCAGCACTCAGATAAAACTGGTCATGAAAGAGCCTGTAAATATTGCAAAAGAGCCTTTAGTTAAGTAAAAGGATGCAGAACTTCTAAAAATCTGCAACTTGAAGAATTACAGAAGCCAGC